CCACACGCAGGTCCGACGCAAGAGCGTACATCACGTGCGTCCGCGACCTAATAACGCAGTTGTCCATGTAGAAGACGCTGGACAGGTTCACGCCAAGGCCGCGCTCCACGAGGATCGCAGCGCACGAACAGCCGCCACACACCAGCGTCGACCGCGTCATGACAAAACACGTCGACAGAAGCCGGACACCGTCCAGGACAAGCGCGGGGCCGTGCCGGGATCCCGCATGGCCACGGGTCGTCGGCACGTACTGCGACCCGCCAACCGTCGCGCGCAGCGTTGAGTTCGCCAGCAGCACACTCGAGTGCAGCGGCATCGTGCCCTGCAGCACAATCGTGCCCTCCAGCGACGTCACGTTCGTCATGTTGACGAGGGCGTGCGGCATCAGGCGCGCCGTGCTCTCGCTGAGGCCGCCAATCCGCAGCTGTGCGCCACCCGCAAGCACGCAGTCGCGCAGCGTCACGTTCAGCGCGTCAGCAAACGCATCCATCAAGCGCAGGTCCACCGTCACAGTGATCGGTCCGCTGAAAACCACCGAGTCAAAGCACGCCGTCGCCCGCCCGCCGCCAACCGTCACCGACTCCGTCAGCGTCACGCCACTCACGCAGTCTCCCGCACCGCCACTGGCCCTCGCAGGCGGCACGTCGAACGGCAGGCATGCCTCGCCCACGCCGCCGGCACGGCAGCCGCACACGCAGTCGGAGAACGAAGCAGTCAGCGCATCGAAGCACGCCAGCGCAGCCGCACAGCCGTCGCACGGCACCACGCTCACGGAGGGCAGGCCGGCCATGCGGTAGTCGCTGCCGCTCTGCAGCACCCGGCCGCCAGCACGGTTGCACTGCACCGACACGACGCCGCTCGTGATCGCCAGCCCGGAGACAAGCGTCGCACCGGTGGCAGCGCAGCGCGCAATCGACACGGTGCCGCCGCTCAGCGTCACCCCCGACAGCGATGCCACAGACGACGCCTCGCCCACCGCCCACACGCCGTGCAGGTCCAGCCACCCGCCGTCACCGACAGTCCCACCGTCGCAGCGCACCAGCAACGACGCAACAGACCCCTCGACGCGCACGAAGCGCAGCACCGAATCAAGCACCGCAACACGCTCTCCAAGCACAATGCCGCCGCCACTGCTCACAACCGACACGTTCGTCACGGAGAACACCGAGTGGCTCCGCAAACTGAGACGCGACGAGGACGCCACATGCATCGCGGAAGCGGTCGGACCGCCCGACGCCTCCAGCAACACGCCGTCAAGCACCACCGCGCTCGACAGCAGGTCCACACCGCCGCCAACGTACAGCGCCGACCCGCCCGCCTGCGACGACCTCAGCACAGTGTTGCTCACACGCAGCTGCGTCTGCAACAGCGACGTCGCGTGCAGCACAAGCGGCGAAGCCACCGCGTCCGTCAGCCCGCTCAGCTGCGAGTAGCGCATCGGCCCCGCCGTCACAATCGTCGAGTCACGGACCGTCACGTTCGTGTGTGCCGGCAGGTTGTCCACAAACACGAGCGAGCAGTAGCTCCCGGACAGCCCGCTCACGCTCACCACCAGGCTCCGGTCACTCGTCGGCTCGCCGCTGTAGCCCCGCACGTAGATCTGCGCACCGCCGTCGCACACGCAGTTCCTCAATTCGATGCGCAGCGCACCGCGAAGCATCGCCGCAATGTCGAACACCACAGCCACGCCGTTCTTCATGTACACGCCGTCCATCAGCACCGTGTCCACGGCGCGGCCAACCGTGATGGCTCTGTTCACCGTGCCGCCCCGCAGTCGCAACACCACCGCATGCACCGCGGGCATCCATGCCGCAGCAGCAACCAGCACCAACGCCACAAGCAGCGCCACATGCACAGCCGCAATGGCCCTGCACCGCACACGGTGCCGGCTGCGCGGAAACGCATCCACCACAGGCCGCATCCACCGACCCAGACACGTATCAGCAGGGCTGTCGTGGCGTGTCGCACTCGCCCCGTCGACCATAACTCCTGTCTAGCAAATCCCTTTCTACAGATGGCGAATCCAGTGACACGATTCCGCCAGATCGTTATCCCAGTACTGCTAATCCTAATACTGCAATTAATCCCTAACACCTTGAAACGATAGTTGTGATGGTCAAGCAAAAGTATCTCTAACTGCACGCTCAGAAAAGGAATAAAAGGCAGCAACAACAGTATCCAAACACAGTGGCACGCAGAGGCAATCCGGTCATACACAATCCCCACCACAGTACAGCCGCCGACACAAAGCCGCGCAGACGCAATAAAGCCAGTGACCCCATCGCCCTCCCACCACCCACACAGCCCCACACAGCCACCGTGCCGAGTGGCGGAATCTCGGCAAAAAGCCACATGACCACTGGCACCGCTCCTGTTACCGAATGGCTGCATCACAGGGCGATCCCGATGCCGTGCACGACACACAAGAGCCGAGGCAGACCACGTGGCAGCGATACGACCGCCAGCCATCAAGCGCGTCCGAGAGGCGTTGGTGTTGGTGTTGCGTAAGTGGAGTGGAGAGCTCGCCGATCGCCAGCAGTCAAAACGTCGTTTCCAGTTCACGCGAGTCGGCATTGCGCAGCAAGCAGCGGCACCATACACGCACGGCATACACAACAAAGGAAAAATAAAGAAGCACGGCGGCG